ACCTCGGATTGAAGTTTTGACAATTCCAATAGGTTCGTATAGTGAATTTGGACTTGTACGCATGTTTGGTTGGGGTCCCGGGGTGACTCGAGGCCGTTTCGCTACTAAATATGGAAAGTTTAATTTTGAAGATTGAATTATGAAATTTCTTGAGTTTTGGTGTTTCATTCTTGAATTTAGATGTTATATTAATGATTTGAGCTTAGGAGCAAGTTCTAATGATGTTATTACACTTGTGTGGATGTTCGGATTGGTGTCCAAGGGGCTCAGTGAGTCTCAAATGAGTTCCAGACTATTTTTGGCATAGTTGGGAATTATGGTGTGGCAGACCTCACATTTGGGAGCCTTGCATTTGCTGAGTGCTAGCTCGAATTTGCAAAGTTGGGAAGGGACTAGGCCACTTCGCATTTGCGAAGTTTTGGTCACGTTTTCTAGTTGGGTGGGCTTCGCAATTGCGAGGGTTGTGTACCAATTGTGTCGCAATTGCCACACTGGTGAGTGGGGAACAACTTCACATTTGCGAAGCTTGGTTCGCCGATGGGCTGGTCCTTCATAAATGTGAAGGTCTAGTCGCAGCTGCGATATCTGATGGGCTCAGACACTGTTTGCATTTGTGATAAGTGGTTTGCTTTTGCGAACATTGTAATTACTAACAAGACTTCACATTTGCGATATCCACAGTTGGGTAAAAGGTTGGGATTTCGGGCTTAGCTTTTTTTACTCCATATTTTAGATCTAGACTCCACATAGAGGCGATTTTGGAGAGAAAATTCTTGCCACCTTCCTAGGTTAGTAACTTTAACTTATTTTTTTTCAATTTCCATTACTTATTCATTAATAGTCACTATCAAATCTAAGGCTTCATAGAGTAGAAATTGGGATTTTCAGTAGAAATTAGAAATTTTGTAAAACTGATATTTAGACCTCAAAGCCCAAATTGAGGTCGGATCTCTAAACAAATCACATATATGGACTAGAGGGTGAATGGTTAATTAGGATTTGTCTTAATTTCAGATTTTGACCATGTGGACCCAGGTTTGACGTTTGTTGACTTCTTTAAATATGTTAAAGATCAAACTTTTTTTTGTATGAGGGTAGTTTCTAAAGTTTGTTTAGACTTATTTGAGTAATATTTGACAAGATTTGGGTTGTTTGGAGGCTTGTTCTAAAGGGAAAGATGTGGTAGATTGTTGATCTTGTTTCGAAAAGAGGTAATTATCGTGGTTAACCTTGATTTGAGAGAATTAGGAGATTATGGGTCTATTTTCTACATGATCTATATGCGAGGATGACGTATATGCAAGATGACGAGTGTATCTGCATCGTCATGGTTTAAGCATGTGGGGTGTACCACTTTGTTTCGATCTATAATTATACCATGTCTATACTAATTTCAAGATTTTACTTATGAGGTGCTCTTACTTGATACTTGTTTTACTTGATATATGTGTCGCCACTTGTTATATGCCCTTAATTGCTACATGTTCTAGCTTATTTTATGACTTTATTTATCATACTCCTTTACTTGTTACATACTTTCACATGCTATTAGGTAGATGATTTTACCTGTCTCTTGCCTTTACTTCCCTTGTTGCCTTTACTTGTTTCTTGTTGCTCGATTATATTATATCTGATCATATGATCTTTAGATTGTTCCCGTGTTTACGGCCTGTTGAAATTCTTGTTGGCAGATATTGTGAGGCTACTTTATGAACATTTATTTGTTTGACCTTCTTTGTTCTTGCTCGTATTTCCTTGGTGAATTATGCGTTTTAGTTCCCTTTTTATGTTATGCTGTGAGATTTGTTGTATTTGGTTGTTATTAAGCATTTCAAATGAATTGACATTGGGATAGGGTTGCGCACCACAACAGTATTGTTATTGATACAAGGATTGAGTTGCATGTCCCAACAATGTTGTTACTAATATTGGGATTGGGTTGCGCGTCATAACAGAAAGGATGTTTTGTAGTTATTCTTGGTTGTTATGCTCCGCTGCCATGATATGTCTGAGGTTGTGATGTGATGTTAATTTGGGGCCTTCTGTCATGTACTTTCTTATTCTGTTTATTATGTAGTTACTCATTTTTATGTATTGTTATTGTTTTTTTGCTTATTACTCGTACATGTTTACAGTGAGTGTCTTGCCATTGCGTTGAAACTACCTCATCGAGGTAGACTCCATACTTACTGAGTAGATAGGGTCATTTATACTGATACAACATTTCTACAGTTTTTGTTCAGATCTCAATGTTGGTCCCAACAACGTCTAGAGGTGATTGATTGGACCTTTCCCAAGAGACTTAAGGTAGGTTTGGTTGGCGTTTGTAGACCATGGAGTCCCCTTAATATCTTTATCTACTATTTATTGTACCAGACAATATTGCATTTCCATTGCAAACTTGTATTTAGCATGACTAGTGACTCATATACTTGTGACACTAGATACTTGAGATAGTCTTAGACAGCGATGGTCGTAGATCTATTATACATCTTTTGCGATTTCACTCTTTTATTAGTATTCATATGTCTTTAACTATTAAACTTCTTTAAGCATTGTGCTAATATTGGCTTTCCTAGCAAGCGGATTTTAGGCTCCATCACGACCCCATGGTTAAGATTTTGGGTCGTGACAGATCTATCCCCCTAGGGTAGCCCTCTTATGTTTCTCTTTTGATGGCGTACACGCAAGTTGTGACAAACCGAAGGGTTTCTGGTTTATTGTGATGTGGGATCTGATGTGATAAATTATTGAGCATTAAGGTGGAAACTTTGACTATTCGTGTGAATCTTTTGTGCATGTATATGCTTGTTGATGCATTTTATATATGCATGAGACTTGTTTGTGAGTTGTTGGACACTTGAAGAATGTCAGATTCATGTAAAAGGAGAGTTGTTATTATAGATTGACATGTTGGAGTCATGTAAAGGTTTTCATAAACATACCATTTGAAAATTGATATGAAATTGGATCATTGACTTGTGTAGACAATTTACCTTCACGTAAAAGTATTTGAGTAAATGCTACTTGGTGCATGTCTCTTTTGAAGCGGAGTTGGTGCAAGTTATTTTTTGTTTTGATCTATTTAATTGGAAAATTTTGATTATTACCTTGATTGTGCATCTTTATTTTGATATCTACCATTCTATGCCTGTTTTCTTGGGTATTTTTTTGTATTATACATGTTATTAAGCTGCACAGGTTATACAAAGTGAGAATCTCTTGACTAAAAACCTCGTCAATAGTTCACTGACGTTGATCAAGATACTTACTGAGTACATGGGGTCGGTTATACTAATACTATATTTTTACACCTTGCGTGCAGATTCAAGAGTTGAGCTGTTGTAGAGAATAAAAGCTAGCATTGAAGACGTACCCATATTCCAGATGCAAACTACTTCTTTGTTCATGGTAGTTTAGGATTTGTACTTCTGTTTATGTATATTCAAATAGGTATTATTTTTTCTTTGTACCAGCATTGTAAAATCTAAATCTTAGTAGCTCATGACTTGTACTACCAGTCCTTGGTATTATTGTATTTATTTTTATAATTTTATTTATTATTTATTGATAGTTTCTCCTTAGAGTTGTATGATATATTGTTTAGCTTACCTAGCGTGTTGTGTTAGGTGTCATCACGATTTGATGAGATTTTGGTTCGTGATATTTTCTGTGTTGCCTCATAAATGATTATGATACAAACGATATTGATACTAACAATTACAGTACAAATAATATCGATGTTGAATCGCTCTCAACTCGATTAATCTCACTCTAAACTTTTCTGTGACATTCGAATACTCTTGACACATGTCGGGATTCAGTTAGACCATATAGTAAGTCTATTTTTCACCAATACAAGAACATGCTAAAAATATAGTCTTGCATTATAAGTGAGCAGGGTTAAAAGTTGAGCTCATGCGTTAAAAGTAAGCATGAGTTAAAAATAATTTTTACTTTTAAAAATGCAGCAATAGGAATATTGAAATTATGGTTAAAATTTTATCTCCACCTGTAGTATATTTCGGACATTTTTTATGTGGATAAAATTCTTCATTGTCGTCAAATTGATTGTAGCTTTATCGGAACCCGCCTTGAACCTATCTCTAATACCTTCAACAATTAGCTCTGATATCACTTGTTGAAATTGAAATAACAAGGTGTAATGCGAAAACTATACCAAAAGAGATATAATACTTTAATATTGTTTGGTCAATTGACCCACATATGAGAAAACTAGAATTTTTAAAAATATTGAGAGATAATTTCCTCATAAATAAGACTCTTTTAATGACTACATTGTTGATGTTATTATTTGCATATGAAGGAGGAATTCTCAATTTATAGAGGTCCACAATTTTTTCCTTCAAGAAAGGTATTGTCAAATTTGGAAAAGAGTAATATTTTCCTTTTAGGAAAAGTAAAATCAATCATAATAAATATTTTACCTTTGTGTCAAATAATACGTAAATCAAAATATGAAAAGGAAATTAGGGCAAACCTTAACAGACATTAAAGAGAGTATGGGTACATGGTGAAACGGAGAACTTTAATAATTTTCTTATTGATATGAGGTTCGTGCTGTTGAGTGTGGACCATCTCCCAATTTATTTGAGAATGTTAGATGGACTGCTAGAAAATGGCAATATCAAGGTATGTTTCTTCTATGTTTTTGTTTGATTTCCTTTGGTGTCTAAAAGTTTCCCTTTCGAAGCGGCAGTAGAAGAATTGTTTTTTAATCATTCATCATTCATCATTTTGAATTTAGTTTTTTTCCTCTCCAAATTTCTGTCTTAATCATCACACACATGTTTCAGTAATATATATGAAATTTTTTAAAATTTTGTATTTATTGGCATGAGATACATATGTATTTATTGACAAGGGATACACATATAATGCACCTGTCCAAAATCTTGTGTATCTTATAAGAAGATACTGCAATATACGCATCATGTATTAATAACTAACTAATGCAACAAAGCAAATGAAGAAGGAAATGAACAACGATACACAATTATTATTAAGGTCATACAAACATGTAGAAGCGCTCGCTCTGATCTAATATTTCTTTGTATCTGGGCTGCCACCATCCACAACCTCTGCAGTTAAGATCTCAACGGGGAACTCACAGTCTGGAGTTGAAGGATTATTTGCGGTGAGTTCGGCGCCTAACAATTCGCAATACTCCTGATCTTGATTGTTCATTTGGTAACGCATATTGTATGCATAAGATACCTTCTCTGCGAAAACGAGGTGATCACAAGTTGCACCAGAGCCAAAGGTGCTGCAGTCAGAATCCATACATGCAGAGTCAAAATCTTTCATCAGCAAGGTCTCGTTGTACTCAGTTTTACCATCAAACACACACCATCTGTTCGGCATTTTCACGGTACCTGTTCAGACAGAAATATGTATTTAGCTTATCGGCGGAGCCAAAATTTTCACCAAGGGGTATCACAATATAAATAAATAGATACACCGAAAAGTTTAGGATAGTCCACATATAGTAAATATACATAAAAGAGAAAAAATTATCCAGCAATACAATGTAATTTTTTGGCGAAGGAATATCGATTGACACTCCTTGGTTGAATGTAGCTCCGCCACTGCTTATCAAGTTTTTAGATGAGATGATCTTATTTTATAGAACGAGTAAAAAGTCATGGGTCAAATTTTACCGACACCCCCAAAAGGAATTTTTCTTACGTGTTTGATTCATGAAAAAGAATCAAAAACCATATGTCGGGTTCATATTAAATTATGCTCTGGCTAACCATTAAAACTTTGAATGAAATAGTCATAATATGTAGAATATAATACCTTTGGCGACGGTTGGCTTGGTGTTTAGGTCATGCATGGTGAAATCAATTTTGTACTTGGGTTCACCATCGAGTTTATAGATACCCCAATGTCGTTGATAATTGCCTATATCTGTATTTACCATATTCTCGTCTGTTAAGGAAAGTAGAAACACATTTATATCCTTGTTTGGGCGTAGTGGAGTTCCTTCCTTCCTACCAAGATATTTAAGAAAGCCACGATGAAATCTTTCTGCATTTTCTTCACTTGCACCCTCATATCCATCTGTAGGCCAACCAATTTGTCCAATAACAATCTCCATATCACCATAACCTGCCTTTGTTAGAGCACAAACAAGTGCATCATAAAGGAAAGTGAACAAATTGTAATAGGTGTTATTGCCATCTACAACTTTGAACTTGGATTTAACATTATCAAAGAAAGCAAATTCCACATCAAATCCCAAATTATACACCGTATAGATTGGAAAAATATTGATAACAAAAGGGGAACCCTTTTTGTTAAGGAAATCTAGGAATTCCACCATTTGGCCCTTTATTTCTTCTCGAAAATCACCTTCTGATGGCTTCGTCATATTTATTAAGACGTCGGTGAAAATGGGAGTTGTTACTTTGATATCTGGGAGGTTGTATTTATCAAGGGAATTTCTGGTCAAATTTAGGAAATGAAGAATACGGCTAAATGGAGTTTTGGTATATTTTGATTTGGTAAATGGTTCGTTTCCCACGTACACATACCTACAAAAAAAAAAAAAAAAAAAAAAAAAAAAAAAAAAAAAAA